ATGTAATTTTTGAGCAAGTCCTTCTGTACTTCCCTGCACCCTACAGTTCAGCTGACAGTCACTGAATCAGGCCCAAGGGGCTTTAACTTAACAGTCTGCCTTTGCTTCCCACGGCCCTCTCCCGCCTCCTTTTATTCACTCCTTGCTCTCATCCCTAATGCCTTCCCTTCCAGAAACACCCCGCATGTTTTGAGACCTCTCTTTCCTCTGCCCGCATCCGTCTGCATTCCCTCCTGGCCCAGGATCACATGCCCCTGGGTGGAGTCTTCCTTGCTTGTCCCATGTGTTAGTGTGTAAGGCCAGCCTTTCCATGAAGTCTTCCCAGACCCTGCAGTCAAAGCGAATCCCTTTCGTCTTCCCATGGCAATGCTTCCTCCTCTTTATGAGACACGCCGTGTCCCTGCATCACGTTAATACACTCTTTGGACTCCTTACCAGATGTTAAGCTCCTGGAGGCAGGTTCTATGCGTCCAGCTGGCATAATACCTGGCAAACAGGAGGCACTTGGAAAATGTTTGTTGACTGGAATAAAACATGCAATTACTGAACATGATGCTATTGACTAATTGAATCACTGCGAGGGGCTGATCTAGGCAGAGAGTAGTTGCTGCCCAGCACCTTGTTTTTAGACATCTAACCTTCTTGCCCCAGGGACCCTAACTCAACACAAATACAGAATAGGTGTTCAGTGAATGCTTGGTGGTTTGAAATTGGCAACAGAGTCTATCAGTGTTAACACTAACATTTTAACACTCACTCTGACCTTCTGCTCCAAGGGACTCTGCATTGTTTATATCTGGGCACATCCAGCTGGCATAGTCTGCTGCTGCTGTTTCCCGGCAGCACTAACTGGCTGAATTCGAGAAGCAGGGCTTCGGGCGCCTTTAAAGCATTAGTTATGCTTGCCTAGCTTATTATTGCTCATTCCAGCTTGCTACACCCAATATCAGCTTGCACATCTAGCTGTTGTCCAACGTGGCCACATCAGTTGCGCTGGGATGGATGTCCCTCCGGGCCCGGATGCCTGGCCTTATCCCAAGACTTTGTTGCTGGCGAGCTGGGCTCTCTGTTTAACCCTCAGAAGGCCTAACAGTTGATGCTGAGCTCAAGGCTCATCGAGGCAGTGGTATATGCTGAGCAGATTTGGGCTTCATGGGCGAACCATGTGCCATTAATTGTTGCTTTACAGATGGTGAGTTTGAGCTGGGCCTTGACACCGAGGTGACAGGACACTGTCACTGCCCACCTCCCTGGAGTCATGCAGTCTTCCTGATCTGCCACTCAAGATCTTCATAGATTCACAGATCAATGAACAGTGTGTGGTCCAGGCAGCCACATTAGGTAATAGCTTTCAACTCTGCACTGCCAATAAAATCATTTGACCATGTCCAGGTTTCTCTTGGTGTAAATTGAACTAGAATTTTTCTCATTATGTGACTCCTTATCAATCTATACGCAGGCACATAATTGAATTATTTTTATTTCCATTTTAATGAATAGATAGATTAGATTAGCTAATAGAGTTAAATAAACATATCACAGATGCAATTTTTAAAGTACAAAGATGATTTCCATAAACCACGCAAAATACCGTCTCGGCGTTAGGAGTCTGACTCCCTTTCTCTGCAAGGCCTGGGAAGAAAGACGAGCACCTGTGCTGAGCGGGCGCCTTGCATACGTCGCCTCACTGATTACAGCAGGAACACGGCGGGCGTGGTGCTCGTTTTACAGATCGGAAAACCAAGATAACAAAATCGAGTCTCACTCAGATGGCAAAGGAGTCTCTGTGTTTAAGCCTGGGGTGTTCCAACTTTGTAGGTGTGTCTTTGCGTCTCCCTTATGACTGCAAAGTGTGCTCACTATGAGAGGATACTTATAGGTTTATTACCCAGAAAACTCTTTTCTGCTATTAATTATTGATGGAGTCGCTAATACACTGTGGACTTCAGGTCCTGTATGATTTGGGTGATGCTGTTTTCTGTGCCTGAAATGTTAACCCAGTTCATTTCCCTTGTGAGCTCCTCCTCATCTCTAAGATCCAGCTCATCTGTGACCTTTTCTTTCCAGCATTCTTTGAACCATACCCCATTTTTTCCTTTTTGGATTTAAAACAATTAAGAGAAATTCACACACATTTTAAGTAGTGCAATAATATGAAGATATATAAATAGCCCTCTGTCCCCCACCTCTATTTCATTTCGGCCCCGTTCTGAAAAACACATTTTTTAAAACATCAAACTTAAAAAATATAATGGCCATATGCTTTTAGTACAGATTCACCAATTTGCAAATGCTGCCACATTTGTTTTATCATTCTTCCTTCTCACTCAATGTATACAAATATTGTTTTCTGAAGCATCTGAGAGCAGGTTGCATATTTCACGCCCCTTTATACCTTAATGATTTAGTTGTAAATTCTAAAACTAAGGCCATTAGTCATTGTTTCTCTTTGGTCTCCTTAAGTCTGGAATAGCAACTAGTCTTTCTGTAATATAATATATAGCTTTAAACATAATTTAAAATTTATTTGGAATGTATATAACAAAATGTTATTAATATGATATTTATTAAAACTTTGAAATCTATGTTCTATAATATGTCATATTACACAATTAAAATATAAATATAATGCATACTATACATTATATAATTTATAATATTTCATGTCTTGTTTAAAGGTATAATGTGTTAAAATTTATAATATAAATATATGTAAATACATTATATAGAAATATGTAAAAATAAAATATATAAAAATGTAAATATGTAATACATTATATTATGTAAATACAAAATATACCTGTAATATAGAATAATATATTGTATGCAATATTGTATTATGATATATTAGGTTATAATGAGTTGTGATATAATTAGTAAATGAAGATATACTATAAATTAGAAAAGATTAAGGTATGACATTTAATGTTATAAAATGATAATATAGAATTATTGTATTTTATACTTTATTCATAGAAAATGTATATTAGTTCATGTATTTTGATAGAATGTTCTTATCCTGGGTTTGTCCTCTGCTTACTCGTGATCATACTCAGGCTATGCATTTCTGGCTGGCATGCCGCACAGTGACATGCCCTTCAGGGTGTCACATACAGAGGTGTGCCATGTCTATTTGCCCTTTATTGATGAAGCTAAGTGTTATTCCCCAGTCAAGGTGTAATGCAATGTAACGTGTTTTCTCCATAGTATAATTATTCTTTTTATTTTTCCAGCTAGTAAGTGATCGGTGAGGAAATGGTTTGAATCCCTGCAAATATCTTGTGCCTCATTAAACTTTCATACCTTAGATTTAGCATGTGTTGATATTTTGTGGTGTTTTTTGACTGAGCCAATCTTTACTCATATGGAGAAACAAAAGGGCTATTTTCTAACTGCACTACTCTCTCTCTATTTATTAACCGGATTTTTGATGGAAGGAAGAGCTCTCTATTCTTTTCCATTCACTTGCTTACTGTATGTGTATAGGTGCTCATCCATCCATCTATCCATCCATCCATCCATGTATCCATCCATCCATGCATCTATCCATGCATGTATCCATCCATGCATCCATCCATCCATGCATCCATCCATCCATGTATCCATCCATCCATGCATCTATCCATGCATGTATCCATCCATGCATCCATCCATCCATCCATCCATCCATCCATCCATCCATCCATCCATTATTTATTATCAGTATGCACTCATGAATGTCTTTCCAATGATTTATCTTTTTTTTTTTTCTTAACCTCACCGGACATTTTTTTGATATTTTGTTCAGATAGAGTGGGAGGGAGAGAGAGGAAGAGAGAGAGAGAAACATTGACGTGAAAGGGACACATCGAGTGGTTGCCACCCACATGACCTAACCAGGGCCGGGGACAAACTGCAACCATGGTACATGCCCTTAGCGGGAACCGAACCTAGGTCTCTTCGGACCACAGGCCGATGCTCTAACCGCTGAGCCAAACCGGCCAGGGCAATGATTTATCATTTTTAATGTCCTTATTTATTTTGATGTTCAAATTGTCTCATATTTGGTCAGTGGCTTGTCATCGGCTTTTGTGTCTTTTCGACATACGTACATGTACCTATCAGTTTTTGAGCAGTTTCTTACTTTTATTTTTATCCTCACCCAAGGACATTTTTGCATTTACCTCCAGATAGACCAGGAGGGAGAGAGGGAGGGAGAGAGAGAAACATCAATGTGAGAGAGACACATTGACTGGTTGCCACCCACACGGCCCCAACCGAGGCCAGGGACAAACTGCAACCAAGGTACGTGCCCTTAGCAGAAACCTAACCTGGGTCTCTCTGGTCTGTAGGCCGACACTCTAACTGCTGAGCGAAACCGGCCAGGGCATGTTTCTTACTTTCTAACATCAGAAGGTGATCCAAGTTCTCCTGTATCTCCCCGGCCTCAGCCCTGTGGTTCATGTTCCCTTTGGTGGAGGAACTTGCAGTTAGTGCCGGGATGGCCCTTTGCCACTGGGGTATTTGCTTTTAAGCCCTTTCAGTGACAGAGCTAAGAAATACGCACATGCACACACGCACATACAGCAATGACGCATTCCCGTTCTTGTCAGAATTATTGGTTCCTCAACTTATTTCTCCTAGTGCTGTGTAAATAGCCTCTGCTCCATCAACACTCCAGGGCCCCACATCAGCCTGCTGTCCGGCACTCAGTCATTGCTCAAAAAAGATTTCTGAATAAACCAATAAATGAATAAACTTTGATGCTGTGAATTACCCTTCTAAAGAAGAAAGATTAAAAGTGAACGGTAGCATAAACATCTTGCTCCTTCTTTTTTTCTCTCCTTCTACAAATGGGTTGCTAAATACGTATGATAACCAGAGGTGATTAGTTCAAATAGTATCAGAATTTGAAGAACAACGTGTTTTCCATTTTATTATACTTGACATTCATCTAAAATAATATACTTTTGTAACAGTTTTCTGAAGTTTATATTTCTACTTTTTCTCAACTACCCCAGGTGGCTGGAATTGTGGGGCGAGCTGACGTGTTAGCGTGCCTGCTGTTTCTGCTGGCCTTTCTCTCCTACAATAGGTATGTACAGCTAGGAAGGTCCTTCTCTGGCATCGCAGGCTGCTGGCCCTTGGGATGTTCTGCCATGTGTGTGTGTGTGTGTGAGTGTGTGTGTGTATTCTGAGCATCTGCCTGAGAGAGGAGGGAGGCTTCTTGGCACTGAAATGCTCAGAGAGCTTCCCCGAGACCTGGCATAGGAAATCCTGTCTTTCCCAAGTGCTCGGGTATCTCTACTCCAGCCACATGCTGAACCATGTCACAGGCTTTTATAGGAACTGCCCACCCAGCACCAGGAAAACAAGTTTTTGGCTTCTTGATTCCTCTCACTTAATAGTTTCTCACCGAGAATAGAATTTGGAATCTTAGCTCTGAGCCAAAATATGTTGGGTGTAGTCCTTTCTCTTATTTGCCTGGGATTTGTTTAATTTTTCCTTTTCATTTTTGGTCCTCGTTTCCCCCGCTCGTTCTTATCCTCATTAAAGTAGCTCAGAGCTTAAAACAAGGCTGAATTGAAAGTAGTGATTCTCAGCCGTGGTTTTCCAGTTCACATATTCTTTCATCATTATACAGAAGCTTCCTGCTTTGGGAGATGGAAAAGCAATAAAACAGTTTTCCACTATATTGCCTCTCCTCCCTCCACGTGGTCAGGTTTTCACATGAGTTGTGACATATCCCGTAGGGAAAGGGGCAGATTGAAAATAACATGTAAATGTGGGCAGATGACCCAGAGCATGGCCCAGAAAAAGGCCCCAGTGAACCGCGTTGCCCTCCTCTGGGGACGACTGCCTGGTGACGCCTTTGTGACCCTAGATCTCTGGATCATCAATCTTTGCTATCACGAAGCCTGGTGACCCCAAGGAACACTGTTCTGATCCAGAGGTTCTCAATATGCGGCACATTTGCCCCTACTTCCCCCAGGTGACATTTGACAATGTCTGGAGACATTTTTGCTTGTCACAACTCCATAGACCAAGGATCCTACAATGTAGAGCGTAGCCCTTACCGTAAAGAATCCTCTTCCCCCAAACGCCAGTAGTGCTGCGGTGGAGAAACCCTGCTGTAAACCAGTTTAGACTTTGGGTCAAGAACGGAATGAAGTGAGTCTCAAGCAGTGTAAGGAAAGAGCAGAGCCTTTAGCACAGCACCCGCCTTCTCGTCCTGGCTCTGCGACCCGCACCGCACCACTAGGCGTGGAGAAAGGTGTGGTGAAATCTTAAAACGACAAATCCAGAGTCAACAATGGTTTCCTGTTTGCTCTGGTGTTACACAAGAAGATTGCTAATTGCTTTTCCTTTAAACATGTTCAGGCTTTCTCTGTGTGATGGGTATATGTGGGAGCATGATTAGGCCTGCAGTGTATCCATATTTGTGATAATGAACTATATCGGTGCAGGTTTTTATTGTGCATGCTGTTGTCACTTTTAGCAATTTAAGCTATAGACCAGCATTGAAGAAGAATGCATATCTACTGCAGACTTGGCCAGTAATTTTATACAACTGCTTCGAGATGTAAGAGTAGGGGTAAGAGTAGGAGTGGGAGCCGAGGGGCGTGGCGCCTGCTGAAGGAACAGTGACGTTTCTCGTGTGGGGCTGGCGTCGTTCTGTGAGATGAAGAAAGACTTGACAGAGCTGGAGGGTTCTTGAAAATCCCTGCTGGAAATTATACGGAGAAACCAAGTTTATCTAATACGTCCTCATGGGAAATAGATTGTCAAATACATATGAGGCAGAAGAAAAGCAAAAAGCTAAAACATCTGTACTTTCATCACACCGAGAAATGATGATGATGTTTTGGGGTGTAGGTGTATATATCTCTACTAATTTCTTTGTTTTGTGTACAAAAGTATACAAAACACCTTCACTAAAATAATAATGATAGTAAACACTTACCATGTAATAAGTCACGTATCGAGTCCTCCCTTCAACCCTGTGATTCCCATTTCACAGATAAGGAACTGAGGCAGAGAAGCAAAGTAACCTGCCCCCATGATCCTGTTACTTAACTGCAGAGCTGTGATTGGGACCCAGGAACCCAGGCTCCACAGTTCATGCATATGGCTCAGTAACCTGTGCTGCTCATTTAAACCACCTTTCCATGTCATTCTGTCTCTCTGGTAGCATTTGAAAGGGCTTTTCAGTGTCCAATTATTGTATGTCAGCTTTTATCAAATTTTTATATACTTTAAGTATCAAACTCACTCTTAGACATTTACTTTTTTCCATCTTTGCTATTTTAAACAATTCTATTCTTGAAGAAATCTTTGCTCACCTACTTAGAATGCAATGTCATTGATGGTAGATCTTATTGTTAGAAGGTGGTATTTTTTAGCAACCACATTTCTCTTAGATTAGAAGGACCTGTGCCTTGTCTTTCAGGAGTGTGGACCAGTGCTGTGTCGGGGAGTGTTTCCCGTCCACGGCCTCGCCCTTCTTCTTGCTGCTCGGCTTGTTTCTGGGGACCTGCGCGATGCTGGTGAAGGAGACGGGCATCACGGTGTTTGGGGTGTGCCTGGTTTATGACCTCTTTTCCCTGTCCCACAAGCAAGAGAAATCGTAAGTCATTTGAATGTTTTGATACCAAGCAGTGCATGTGCAGAGCAGAAGTACTTAAATCAATAATTTCCAAACTTTCATTAAAAAAAAGTCTAACGTTTTTCTTAAACGCAGCTTCACCTTAGACCATACTATAGCAAACAAGGCTTGTTTCGTGAAGCTCTATTATCTGTGTTCAAATTCTCCACACCTTTATTCAAAGCCGTGGGGACTATGCAAGTTTTGTGAGCCCCAAGTTAGAAATGAAAAAGTATCTATGCTACTTGCAAGTTTATATTAGTGATATTTTCTGGTTGCAAATTCCACCGAGGAATCTGGATTCACACGGAGTAGTGGTTATGAGAGGAGAGAGTGTGTCAACAGCTTGCCTTGAATCTGTGCATCCAAATGAGGGTTACCCATCAAAGGCACTGCTCCAGAGTTGATGTTGTCACCTAAGCATTTTGGGAGTATCCTTTTGCAGTTTCGCAGTGGGCCCGTCTAAAGCATACAGGAATACTCACACTTCATATGCCAATCAAAGAACAAGTTTATTTCGTAGCCCTTTTCTATTTAAAAAATTTAAGGCACATTCCTGTTATCCCATGGACGGTAGCTAATAAGAATAACTAAGGCATATTAAAAGTTCAAACACATACTATAATTTTCTTCCTCTATTAAATGCATAATTACTAACAATTTGACATGCAGATCCCATTTTCCAGTAATTATAAGGTTCTTACTTTTGAACTTTAAAAAATGCGGTTGATTTATTTTCCTGCCTTGTCCAATGAAGAATTTTATTCTTTAAAAAACCCTGCCTTTTTATTCTGTTCCCTGCCTCTTTATACTTCTTGACATAAAGATAAGAGCAGGGTTATTGAATGGCAATGAGTGGAGATTAATCATTTAATTCTGATCACCTTCCTGCCTAGGAGGACTCGGACATCATTTAAATAGAGTTTAGTGCTCCGTCGACTCCTGTAAATCTCAGAGGTGTGTAAAAAGAAGGAACCCAGTTATCATTTTGACCCAAGCTCATGCCAAGAAAGCTGTGAGCCAGAGGACCTCCCCTTGGCTTATATGAGAATGTCTTTCCTCTATATCCTCTCAACTGATAGGAGTAATTGCATTGCTCAACTTTTGTTTTTGTTGTTTGTTTGTTTTTTTAGAGAACAACCTCTCAACCTCTCTCATTTCCCACTTTTTTCACTTTCTTCTTGCATCCCTTTTGTTTCTGCCTCCTAGCTCCTTGCTGCTTTGCCCCACTGATGGCAGAATGGTGTGGCAACTGACTGCAAACCCTCCCCTTCGATTTCGTCCTGGAGCCATTTATACTTATCGTTGAAGTCCTGTCTCCTCTGGTCTTGGGACTCTCCAGCCCAGTGTTGCCTCTGCTCCTTCCTTCCTCAGGCGGTCACTGTTGAGCCAGGCTTTTTTCAGAGGGAGCAGGTGTCTCTTTTATTCCTTTAATAATCTTTCTTGATCTCCATCATAAACTGATAGATGCCCTATGGAAGGAAGAATGTGCCGATATGTAGCTTAGAAGTTGAACAGCTTGTAATCTGTGATTTTTAAAAAATCTGTGATTTTTTAAAAAATATCTTTTTATTGATTTGAGAGAGAGAGGAAGGGAGAGGGAGAGAGATAGAAATATCAATGAGAGAGGACATTGATTGGCCGCCTCCTGCATGCCCCCCACTGGGGATTTGGCCCACAACCTGGGCATGTGCCCTGACCGGGAATTGAACTAGTAACCTCTTGGTGCATGGGTCGATGGCTCAACCACTGTGCTATACCACCTGGGCTGACTTTTTAAATTTTTTTTTAAAGTAACTTTTAGCTCTCAAAACCAGCAGCTATATATAAGTGGAGATATTCATTTTTTTGTTCATCCTTCTCTCCATCCATTCAACACATATTCATGCTACACCTGGACAAGAATAAGAGATAAGATTCCTTTCCTTAAAGAGCATGTTCAATGCTGGAGGAGACAGACATTACTTAAGTAATTACATGAGTAACTGATTACAGCTGTGGAAATGGTGAGGCGGAGCCCAGAGCATGAGAGCATGTAACAGGGACACCTGGCCTGTGATGGTTAATAGCTCTTGAGTTCTGGCTAGGTGCCAGGCATTGTGTGTGCCAGCCATTTACAGGTATGAAGTCACACAATGCTTACAACCGTTGCCCTCATTTTACAGAGGGGAAAACAGAGGCACAGAAAGTAACCTCTCTAGAGTCACCTTACCCTGAGGGGAGCTGGGATTAGGACCCCTGTGTTTGTGACACCAGAGTCACCGGTTTATCTCTGAGCACCTCTGTCTCGACAGAAAGAATGCAAGACAGGGACCCGGAGACCTCCCGGAGCAGCTGCTGCTCAGGAATTGGGCTTCCATTTGTATCATGAGACCAGCTCAGAGGTTCTGGGTGTATTTTGGGAGGGGGGGAGGAGTCATGGCCTCTTTGAGAATCTCACAAAATTGTGTCCCCTTTTCCCAGCATAATGTACATGCACAGTTTTGCACAAACTCTTAAGGACCTAGCCCCCACTTTATTTGCTAATTTAAAGTAAATATCTTAGCACTAGGTTGTGCTTGAGGTGTTTCCTTGTATGATTGGCAGCAGGAAAGAAACAATAACAGAAGCATATGTTGGCAGCATTTTCCTGCAGAAAGAGCCATTTACTCCTAAATGTTAAGGGGATCACACAAATGGAGTAAGATTTCTTTTATTTGACATCACCTTTAGAAAGAAATATTTTTAGTCACAGATGAGCTCCTGAAAATTAAATTGTTTTTTCTTTATTTTTAAAAAATTAGGATATAATTTCCAACATGCAGAGAATAACATTTCCTGACCCAGTCCCTAAGTGCTCTGTCTAGAAGTAAGCACAATTCTGAATTTGGCAATTTTCATGGCTATGATTATTTTTATTAGTTCATATGTATATACCAGTGAATACCAAATAGTATTATTGAACATATTTTCAAACTTTATGTAAATGGTATTACTTGCTTTTCTCTTCATTTAACATTAGACTTTAAGAGGGGTCAATGGGGAGAAAAGGGAGACATCTATAATACCTTCAACAATAAAGGTACATTTTAAAAAAGAGACATCATTGTTGATACAGGTAGCTGTAGTTCATTTTAACTGTTGTATGGTATTTAATTGTCCCAATTTATTTAGCTGTCCCAATTATTTATAAATTACTTATTTAATTGTCCCAATTATTTATTTTCTGGATTTGGAATTGAGGTTATTTTCACAAATTTTGCTGTTATACACTATGCTCCAATGGATTTTCTTGTGCAAATGCATGCAGGTTTTTCCAGGGCATTCCGTAGGAGTGGGGATTCTGGGACCACAGACGGGCACACGTTGACTGTGTCATACGCTGAGACAAACCCTTGAAATGATTGTAGCTGTGCCTCAGAGTCCCCTTGCCCCACAGTCTCATCGTTACTTAGTCGTATCAGACTTTTGAAGTTTCGCCCATCCATTGGTTTTGAAGTATATCTCAGAGGACTCATGAAAGAAAAATGTAATCATAGTACTTTGGATGGATCAGATATGAACAGTATTTTACAAGGTCACAATTATGCAAATCCCGAATACCACTTCAATCAAATATTATGAGAGAAATATATTTAGAGGGTGAGGAGTGAAGAAAAGGATGTGTGTGTGTGTGTGTGTGTGTGTGTGTGTGTGTGCGTGTGTGTATTTGTGTATAAGAGGGGCTGAATCCTAGTTTACTATATTAGAAAGCCAATATAATAAGTTCTAAATTAAAAAGGAAATAATATTATAATTATGTTATTTTTAAAAATACTTGAGAATGGTTGCGTCTAGCTGCAGGACTTCGGGGTGGGCCAGGGGACTGCTCTCTCTCGTTGCCAGCCTTGCCATTCTGTTTGCTTGTGCAGGAGCAATGGGGCCATCCATCAGCGCAGCCCACAGCAGCCCGGGGGCCCCCAGCCCGCGCCAGTGCCAGCGCACCCTCTCCGCCAGAATGGGAAGCAGCAGCGGTTCCCCCACAAAGCAGCTTGGAGTGGCTGCCACTCCCCGTTGCCACCAGAACCCAAGAGCAGTGGATTCCCAGTGTCTCCTGGAGCTGTGTGGTCCATGATGAGGTACTGGGCTGGGCTTCTTGACTGTGTGCGTTTTTACCGTCCGGCACCCCCCATGTGGGCTGGTAGGAGAACTGAAGCCCCGAGTCGTTCTTTGTGACCTCTCCCAACCCCCTCCTTGTTTTTCTGACTCCCTCTTTCTTTCCCTTCCTCTTTCCCTTCTTCCTCCTTCTTCCTTCCCTGTATTAGATCAAAAAGGAAAGGAGCAGCTAGAAAAAGCCCTGCTAACTGCTGTTATGTGGAAGCAGGGGGTGAGGTATAGGTCTGTGAAGACTCAATTAAGGAAAGCAAACATTTTCTTGTTTTCCTAGTGGGAGAACCTTGCATGGAGATCCCGGCCCTTGGTTTTCTGGAGATGGAGAGCACTCTACCTTCCGCCTGCTCTCTTCTTGCTCTTTGTGTGTGATAGGAATTTATTACAGCATAAAAAGCCCAGGGGACTTTGCCCCCAGAAATGTTTTTGAGGATGCAGGAAAATCTTTAAAGCCTGGGATTTTCTTTCTTTTTAAAAATATTTTGACCTAGCCGTGAAAATGAACATAGATTTTTCAGAACAGGTGCTCACTAAATTAGGTTGCCTCTAAATTAGCTCATGACATGGGAAGTTTTGAATTTAATGAGGATGGAAATTCAATTCATCCTGTTAGCACTTTATATCTTCAAATTGATGTTCTTATTTTTCTGGTTGATTCTAGACAACTCTCTGTTTCAGGGTCTATGTTTTCCATTATTCCCACCCTTTCCTGTTATTATTATATTTGTTTATGTCTTGCCTTATGCATTTATTTATTAAATATCTATTTTAAATACAGTACCTATAGAGTGTCTACCACGTGCCAGGCACTGGGCTGGGTACCAGGAACGCCCTGGGGAATGAGGAAGACAAGGTCTTTGCTCTTGCGTGGCATCCTTTCTAGTGGAAAAAGACAGCACTGAATAACCAGCAATGAATGAACAACTGTGATGGAGAGTGATGGAGGGGCTGGCCAGGACGAATTCGCACTGATTGGTCAGAAACAGCCTCCCTCCTCCTCCTGAATGAGGGGTGGGGGCTAGCCCTGAACAGATCTGGGTTCCAGACTTGGTGGAATGAGAAGTGGGGGGTGGGGGTAGGCAAGGCCCAGATAATAAAAGGCCATATTAGCTATGGAACAAGTTGCAGTTTTATCCTGAGTGGTATGAGGAGAATTGGGAGGTGTTTTTGCTGTTATGTTTTATCTTTAATACGGTAAGAAATGATTTCATTAAGCACTCTGGCTTCCTCTTGGTACACGATGTGGGGCAAGAATAACGCAGGGAAAGAGTCAAGAGGCTTTTATTCAGACTGAGGGAGGAAGATAGGGTGTTGGCAGAGGGTGAGGGGACTGGGGGGAGCAGATGTGGATTCGGGATGTCTTTTGGAGACAGGCCCAGCAGGACTTGCTGATGTTTGTAGGGAGGGAAAGGATGGGAACAAGGACTTTTAGGTGGACGGTGGTGTCCGTTACTGAGATGGAACGCAAGGGGAGAAATACGTTTTTGACAGTTGGGGGAGAATAAAATCACTGTCATGCATGACATTCCTGAGAAAGCAAGAGAGATAAACAATCAGAGCTTTGAGGAAATATTGACTTTTATGTGGTGGGCCATGGAGGAAAAGAAGATAAAACATTTGGGGAAATTGTAAATTGTTTGTAACGAGGCAAAGGAAGAGAAAACAGGAATTAATAGAGAGTTGTGGACTTTCAAGGTGGGACAGGGTCAGACTGAGGTTGACTGAATTCCCTGAGGGCAGGGGCTGTGCCGCTTCTTGCTCCTATCTGCATCTCCAAGCCAATAGTAGTGACACAAACATTTGCTAAATGAATAAAGTAATGAGAGGCTGGCACAGTGTTGGAATCAAGCACACATCGACCATGTTCGGTAAAGTTGCAATGAAGGAGTGGGGGAAAGAATGGCAACTGCAGGGAAGTTAGGTTTTTGTTTTCATCTTTGTTTAAAATTTGATGGACTGTACGTAGACAACTTGAGAGAATAGAGGTGAAAGATGCTGGAGTGGAAAGGGATAAGGCGAACTATGAATGCCAGTGGTGTGCTGGTTAATATTTAATAACTGATTTCCAAAGCAAGATACTCTGACCTGCGGTCGCTGCCAAATTCCATGTAAATGACTCCTCCCATGGTTCATTTCAAGCTACAGATGTGATGTCGCTGCAGGTGGAGTTGGGAGGGAAGCGCTGTGGTCCACCACTGTGCAGTATTTCCACCGCGTAATAGACAACAGACATAAATAACCTCAGGAGCACAGATACCAGTAACACGAAGGAAACTAATTAGGAAGTGATGAGCTTTCAGTGTGTAGCACCTTTGTTTTTAATAAGATTAATTTTAACTTAATATAACTTTTAATAATGGCTATATTTAATAACTGGCTTGTAAAAGGCCTAAAAATTTAATAGTCACTTCTTGCACGCCTTTGTGAGTCAGCTGCACAGACCAGGGAAGAAGGTCCTTCGGGGGGAGAAAGAAAATGTTGTGTCTGTTATTCCTCTGCTGTGTACCAGGACGGGGGCTGGCAGTTCCCATGCATTATCCCGTGCAGCCGTCACAGTAACCATTTAAGGTGGATGTTATAGTTCCCATTGCCAGAGGAAATAGAAAATCTTAGAGGTTAAAACACCTTGTCTACATTGACATCGTAAGTGGGCAAGTCAGGATTGGAACTCAAGCTGTGAGACCCCTAACTCTGTGCTCTGCCCACTTGTGGGCTCTGAAGTCCAGAGTCCTAGGTGGGGGCTTAGCCTTGGGGATGAGACAGGACACTGGTAACGTTCTCCAGGGAGCTGGCCTCCCCACAGACTCTAAGGGGCAGACAGATTCTTGCAGCCACCCTTGGATTCACCAGTGAGGCACTTCTTGACTTGCTTTGAGATATGGTATTGGTGCTAATACATTTAATTAGATGGGGGTGATTTTGTAGGTTTTGTTCTTTTTTAACCCCAAACACCAGGTTATTTTAGAAAGAATTATGCCTGCAGAGCAATACAAAGGACAGCGGGAGCTGGATTCGAGTCTCACTAAATTATTCTGTGTGTGGGCGGGAAGGACCATGATCTCTCCTTGGGAAGGAAAAGTGTCATGTATTTTCCCCTTTTGGAAATGAAAGGTGTCATATGTTGGAGTACACATTTAATTAGTATTAAAATTATTTTTGAAAATGATGCTTGTCCTTTTGTCAGCAGGTGATTAGGCAAGGCAAATACAAGTTCAAAGAGGCAGTGTTATCTTAATTCCTAAAATCTCTGCAGCCCTGGCTGGTGTGTTCAGTTGGCTGGAGCATCCCCGTGCACCAAAGGGTCACGGGTCTGATTCCGGGTCAGGGCACATACCCTGGTTATGCGAGTTTGAGCCCTAGTTGGGGCACATACGAGAGGCAACCAATGGATATTTCTCTCTCTCCTTCTCTCATTCCTCTTATTTCCTGCTATTCTGCAGGGTCTGTCATGAATCATTCATTCGACAATATTTACTGAGCACCTACTATGTCCCAGACCCCATTTTTGTCAGTAAAGTAAACAAAGCCCTGCCCTCATGGTAATTTTTACTTAAAATAGGCTCATTTTTGTGGGTGAGACACTGGTTAGATTTTTCACTTCAGTGGGTTTTGAACATTCTTCTTGTGACTGCCCTGTACAGAGGCACGCACATCAGGAAACCGGGGCAAGTCTAGGACTAGAGAACAATTTGCACGAAAGTGAACTTGTGAGGTAACTAAAGTCAGGGACAGAGTGGCATTTCAGTCTTTTGGCCTCCGCTGATGGAATGGGTAACTGATCTCTTCTTACGTGCCGTTTTAATGCTTTATTTCTGTGGACCTTGCATTACACCCTTTTCCCCAAAGTAAGCAACGCTGTGTGGATTAGACTCCTGAGGTGGGATTTGGAACTTTTATTTCACACATATGATCCTATGAATAGGGCAAATGTGTTTCAGATCATTATTAATAACCTCGTATCAGCACTGAAAGAAACTTAGTGAGCTAGCGAAGTGAGATTTATAGGTGACAGAAGAAAATTTGTGTTGAAAGCCTGTATTGCTGATGAATAACTAGGTTCTCTTGCACCTCCCCTCCCCCATCATTACACACCCCTTTCCATGGACATCTCCGATGTGCCGTTTTCAGTCTCACTTAGCTGCTGTTTTCAAGAGGTACAGAGTGAACATAAGTATGTAAGTATCCAACAGCGAGAGGTGGAGTTTGTGAACATATTCATAAATCCCCTCCCCGACTTAACTTTTAATGCAAATGTAAACCTCAGTGAAGAATCCACATTGAGAACACAGACCACCTTAAATTAAATTTAAAAGTCATTTTAAAAATTCAACTGTGCCAGTTAGTTACCAGGCCTCTAAATTATGAACTGTGTTTATTGAGATCACGTCATTAATATGCCATTAATGTTCTCTGGTGATTGATTTACCAAAGTTGCGCTCCTAATTTCCTTTACAGTGGCTTTTCTCAAATATAGAGTTTACAGAAAAGATGGTATTTCCTTTTGTGGATCGGAGGTGTTTTTTTTTTATTTGTTTGTTTGTTTTCTCTTACTGTTTGCTAACCATTACCTGAGAGTGATGTTATTTCTCCTGAACCAGTTTTGGCCCTAACGTGAAATTGTGAGGCAATTAAAGTCAGAGGACTTAGAGAGGCATAGAAATATTTTGCGCTCCACTGACGGGGGGGTGGGGTGGGGGGGGTGGGGGGGGGTGGGGGTTGACCTGGGTGAGTTCACCTGACCTGAAAGCTTATTGAGATCTGCTTTCTTCTTGAACTGAACTCAGTACTCGAACAGATCATTTCAGTACAGCATTCCCTGGCTTCTTTCAGAGTTTAGCAGATTCAGTCAGCGGCTGAGACGTGCTTTCCTTTCTCAGGGTGGAGCAATGAGGCTTGGGCGTCTGCTTTCTAACCGGATGTGCGTATGTTGAAAGAGAAAACTTTCAGAACGTAGGCATTTCTGGTTGGC